AGCACTGTGTTGGCCTTTTTGGCAGCTGCAGCACACTGCTGGCTCATATTTAGGTGATTGTCCACTAGGACTCCGAGGTCCCTCTCACAGTTACTACTATTGAGCAAGGTGCCACCTATGCTGTACTTGTGCATTTGTTTTTTCTTGCCTAAATGTAGAACCTTGCTTTTTTCACCATTGAATTTCATTTTGTTAGATAATGCCCAGTGTTCAAGTCTGTCCAGATCCTTCTGTATCTTAAGCCTGTCTTCTGGAGTGTTGGTTATTCCTGCCAGTTTGGTGTCGTCAGCAAATTTGATGAGTTCCCCATCTATCCCCTCATCCAAATCGTTGATGAAGATGTTGAAGAGCACTGGGCCCAGAACCTTGGGCACCCCACTACACACTTCCCTCCATGTAGATGCGGTTCCATTGAGGACCATTTATTTATTTTTAACCTGCCTTTATTATTTTTATAAATTACTAGTCCACCTCTTATTCTACCCACAACACTCTATAAATAAATAAACAAACCAACCATTGCTCTTCCTTTAAAATCTAGAATATTATTGCAGCAAAACAGAATATAATATTAACTGCAAATCCCCACTCCCAACCAAATATATGTATTTAGTCTGCTAATTATGATGTCTCTGGGACTATCTTGTAGCTGTCTCTGGCAGTCACATTTCTCTATTTTGATATAATTCAATGAAAAGAATTAGACCTTGAATGATAATGGTTTGGATCCTTTAATTCCCTAAGAGAGACAAGGGATGGGAGTGACACAAATATAATTGGAAAAACTGTAGACCTCGAAGAACTGTTATTCCTTTAAAGTGTATGAGCTATATACTTCTGTTCTACTTAGTGCATTGTCAATATTTTGCAGCACCATATACAAGTCCTCAAGTCATGATACAGAAGGACACTCTTATTTGTACAACGTCTGGAGGTTACCCAGAGGAGAAGCTCTATTGGATTTCTAAAGCTGGCACTAAATTGACCCTTAAGTCAACATCTGAGTCTGTGAAAAATGAGGATGGGTCATTCAATCTGAGCAACATCCTTCAACTGGAATTTCCTCCCTCTGAAACTGAATATTGCTGTACTTTCAACAACACAAGAGTTCCCAGCAGACAACCAGGTATGTTTCATTTTTTTTCATTGTCATGTCTATACTTCAAATTGTCAACAACCATCAGTACTGTCCAAGTTAATTACAGTTATCAAGTATTTAAAAAAATTGTTAATGCAATATATTTTTCTCAAGGTAGACTTGACAATTCTGTTTGCTCAGATCCCATTAAAATCCCACTGTTTCCATCAACCAATTTCTGGTAGGTAATAAGCATTTTGGAATAATTACATGGAAATTTAATTATAAGATCTTTGGGGTGAATTAATAAACCCCAGTCTCTGTCTTGCATTGAGTTCTTGGCAAGCTATTTATCTCTGAAGTTCTCTCTAGAACTCCAGTAGTACATGAAGCCCACCACTTTGTTATGTTATTTGTCCCATTTATCTAATATTCAGTTTAATAGAAGCTTAAATTAGCTGTCATGATTGACAGAAATTAATAGTAGTACTTCTGTTGACAGATCTGGGAGAAGAGATTCTGTCAATAGAAAAAGGGTCTGTGGTTGTGAGGAAAGGCAGCCCCACTTTTGGGAAACCAATGACTTCCTTCCATGTTGCCAATTTGATTAGCACCATATACTTTTCCAGGTAGCAGCACATAGCTGAACTTGATTGAATCAAAAAAGCTAAGCAGGATCAAACAAAGTTCATACTTGGATTCAAAGCCACCAAGAAAACCCACAACTAAACTAATTTGGAAGAAGGTAATGACAAACCACGTCTGTGCTATTGCCAAGAAAATGACATGCATGTCCCTGAAATTACTAGGTGTTAAGCTCAGCTTCAAGACACCACCTTTTTAATTGTCCACATGGAAAATTAACTCCATTTCCTTTTCTATTTTATACAGCCCCAACATGTATGGCACGTAGAAATGTTATAAACTCCACGATTACAGAAGTAAACTCCACGATTACAGCAGCAGTAAAGACCACACTGGAAACAACTACGATAATAGTCATCCTGGTGGTTTTTATTTTATTGGCTTTCTGTTTATTGGCTGCATTTTGCTACAGAAAAAGAAAGAAAAATGCATCTTCTGCAAGTAAGTGCTAGCTGTCCATTGATATTTTTCAGTGCTAGACATGGCAAAAAATCTTAATATTTGGCAAGAAAACAGCATCATTCTTTAACATCTCTGGGAACTCATATTTAAATATAGCTCAATCTATAGTGCCTAGAAAATACTGAACATAGATTTGAATCGGGCGAATAAAACACAGAACATAGAATAATAGCATTAGAGGGGAACGTGGAGATCTTTTAGACCAAACCCCTGCTCAAACAGGAGATCCTATGCCATTCCAGACAAATGGCTGCCCAGTTTCATCTTGAAAAGTTCCAGTGATGGAGCCCCCCCCCCCATATCTGGAGGTAGGCTGCTCCACTGATTAATTGTTCTCACTATCAGAAAACATCTTCTTAGTTCTAAGTTGAATCTCTCTTTAATGATCTTCAACCCTAACTTCTTGTCCTGTCCTCAGGTGCTTTGGAAAATAGGTCAACCCCTTATTTTATGTGACAGTCCCTTAAGTACTGGAAGATTGTAATCATATTACTCCTAGTCCTTCTCTAGTTCTCTCAATTGTTCATTGTACAATTTAGCCTCCAGACCCCTTATTATCTTTCTTCCTCTTCTCTGCACTTTTTCTAGGATCTCAATAACTGTTTTGTATTGTGACCAGAACTGGACACAGTATTCCAAATGTGGTCTCCCCAGTGCAGTATAAAGTGGTGTTATCACTTCATGTGATCTTGAAATTATTCCATTGTTGATGCAACCTAGGACTACATTAGGTTTTTTGGCAGCTGCAGCACATTGCTGGCTCATACTTAAAGGGTGGTCTACAATGACACCTAGATCCCTCTCAGGTTTTGTACTGTTGAATCAGATGCTACCTAATCTATATCTGTGCATTTGGTTTTTCTTGCCTATGTGTAGGAGCTTACTTTTCTCACCATTGAATTATATTTTGTTGGATAGGCCCAGTGTTCTAGTCTGTCAGGATCCTTCGGAATCTTGAGTCTATCTTCTAAAGTGTTAGCTATTCTCCCCCCCCCCCCAGTTTGGTATCATCTGCAAATCTGATGAGATCCCTTTCTATCCCTCATATAGATCATTTGTGAGGATGTTGAAGAATCTATTTGGCTTAATATAGAACCAGAGGTACCCCCACTTGATATAGATGTAGTTCCATTTAGGACTAGATGTTGAGCTGTATGCTTTGCCTCATATATTTGGTCAAGCTGAGCACGAATTCTGCCACCTCTTGTATTTTCTCTGTAAGCATAATGTAAGAATGTAGGATACTTTATGATATGGCTCAAATTATTAAACAACCTGCCTCCAGAGGTTGTGAATGCTCTAACACTGGAAGTTTTTAAGAAGAGACTGGACAGCCATTTGTCTGAAATGGTAGAGGGTTTCCTGCCTGAGTAGGGGGTTGGACTAGAAGACCTCCAAGGTCCCTTCCAACTCTATTATTATTATTATTATTATTATTATTATTATTATTATTATTATTATTATTATTATTATTATTATTATTATTATTATTATTATTGATCATTGCACAGTCAGCCAGATGTTCAGATTGGATTTGGCATTTTTGTTTACCTATCGAGTCCTTACCAAGGATCTGGGATAGGCAGATGTGGATTTAATAATAATAATAATAATAATAATAATAATAATAATAATAATAATAATAATAATAATAATAATAATAATAATAATTATTATTATTATTATTATTATTATTATTATTATTATTATTATTATTATTATTATTATTATTATTATTGATTTAAATCAGTGTTGCTAACTCTGAGTAGCAGCAGTTCTGGAATCCTTCCTAGCCATAATTACAGATTTTGGATTGAATCTATACAGGTTATCTGACATATGACCATAATTGAGCCCAGAATTTTTGTCATGGTGGTTATTAAACTGGTCATCAGATGGTGGCACTCAATTTTACAACTTTTTTTTGCAGCAGTTATTAAGCAAATACAGAAGTTGTTAAGCAAATCCATTGTACTCAATGGATATTTTTTTAATTGGAAACAAAGTAAATACCAGTTTCCAGCAAAAAAACAATAACATCATAAATCATAGTCACATGATTGTGGGACACTGCAAACAGCCATAAATGCAGGCCAGTTGCCAAGTACTCAAAATGCAATCACATGACCATAGGTGTATGCGTATCAGAATTTCAAAATCCAGATCATAAGTAGCTCCAGGAGATCCATTGTAACTTCGAACGGTTGCCAAGTGATCAGTCATAAGTCGAGGACTACCTATAGCGTATATGAACTATGTGCTGATCTGTGGTCCATCCTCTGTGCTAGGAAGAACTTTTGATCAGGATAAAATATATTGACCTGAAGTCAGGTTCATCTTTTGGATATTAGATGGACAAAAAGCAATTAAAACTATTTAAAGGCAAATTATTATTTTATTTATTAACAATATTTGCATACATGCTCTTCTGCTTTATGAGCCTATTAAATCATTTTGTTCATTCATTTTCTTACTTACCAGGAGGAATTTCCATTTTAGTTGGGAGAAAAGACTTGCTTATTCATCTTAATAAAAGTCATAGTCTTCAGGCATTGGACGAGATTTAATTCTGTTTGCTTTGAGTATTTTAAACTCTGCATAATCTTCCAATTCAGCATCAGATAAGTAATGTGAAGCTTACATTGGAGAAGTCAGAAGCTCTTGAATTCATGTCTTTTTCTGAAAACTGGACAAACAAGACCTACAGATATAAAAAAAACAACGAAGAGGTTGAATTTTTTAATTGAAGAATTGTTGCAATTGCTATCAACAGGATTCTGATTAAAAATATGGACTGCAAGAATTAAATGCCATTATCATAAACTATTTTGAAAAACCTGGCACCAGTTTTCTGAGTAGATCCTTCCAGTTTGGTCTACCAAGTATAGGCTGCAAAAAACGAGACACCACTAGAGGACAGTAAAATTATTTTTATGTCTGGACATTTGGTAGCTTGACAGTCTGTCATACTGAACACTCTTGATATAGAGACACTGAATGCTGTTGGTTATTTAGAACTTTATTATGTAGCATCATGTTGGTGCAAGAAGAAATGATCTTGGATACAAGGATGATTAGATGTTCTGAATGTGTGACGCATTTAATAATAAAAAATGTAAGATATAAATTAGGATGAGAAAGATATTGTGAAATATGCATTGAGGGGGGGAAAGGCAGTTGCAAACAATGCAGTAAGAAAGCAGGAGACAATAACATCGTAAGTGGCCCAGAAAATGAGTAATTTTGAGGGAAATAAATTGTTTTTGATGAGGAGGGCCTCCATGAAAGCTCATGGAATTAAAAATGTTGAAACACTGTGGGCTAAAGCTGAAGTGAATGCTGGAAAAATTATTTTAAACAAAAATATGGACCAATATCTCAAACTGAAACAAATGGATGAAAATGAAATTGTAACTGTTGTACAATGATAAGGCTGTAGAGTAGATGGCCTAAGCTGGAATTTGTTTATTTGTTTATTTAATTTTAAGAACTTCTATGGTCATCTATCTCACATAGTAATCCTAGGATGCTCCCAAAAATCAATAAAAAAAATCCCCCAAAATTATTTTTAAAATATTATTTTTAAAATTTATAATGTTTTAAACACAGATGTGGTTTGAATATGATAACACCATATGACTTATTTAACAATGTACTGTACACAAAGCTTTCACCTTGGCCTGATGATTAGAAGAATGATATTTGTTCCCCTACATCGAGAGAAATGAAGCAAGTATGAATGCAAAAATTACTTTGGATTAGCTTGACCTGTATACTGGGAAGGTGTTTGCCAGAATTCTGAAAATTGTGACCAAAAGAATATGAGATAATAAGCAAAATTTGGAAAGTGCAGTGCAGCTCCCTACCAGATAGATGTACCAATAAAATTGTTGCTCTTATGAAGGCCACTGACAACTGAATAAACATGAGAAAATTTATTTTATATTTTATATATTTTTAATTTAGAGAAAGCCTATGACAAAAGGAACAAACTAGAAATAGGGAATGTTTCATATGAATGCCTTGGTTGTGAGCCATAATGATTGAAAAAGATAAAATATAACTTTCAGTAAGGACATCCTTCTTTCATTTTGTTAGATATGCCAGGATACACTTACACTATGCAGGAGTGTCTAACTGCCGGCCCGTGGGCTGGTTGCATCATGCAGAGGCCGCGCCCACCCCAGCTCCAGCAATGCAAAAAAAGTTGTGATACGTCATGACACATCACATGACGCGGCGAGTTTGACACCTGTGCACTATGGGAACCTGATATTTAATAAGTGTGTGTGTCATAAAAGAACAGATTGGGTAAAAAATATATGTGTGCTGAAGGAATGTAGTTGAATATAAAAAAAATGAATTACTAGTACAAAAAAATTACATTGAAATGGTTTAATTATATATAGGGAATGAAGGAGTGATTACAGTATGAAAGAAGAATGAGTTAATGAAGAAGACTCACAAAATCTTGATTGGCTGGCATTAATGGATCCTCCAAGAGAAAAAGTTGTGAAGTTTAAAGGATATGTGTGTAGAGGAGTGTATCAGTGTGATGAAAGCAAAGATAATTTGCAAGGATAGAAACTTCAAAGAAGTGTAGTAAACTGTGGCAAATTGACTAAATTGAAGTTGACTAAATTTCTTATGCTGTTAACTGATTGGACATACTATTTTCACAACATTTTTTTTCTGTATTGTATGTAACATTTCTTATCCTGGAAAGGAATAGCTTGATGGGTATGTATGCTCCTAAAGCAACAAGAGTTTTAAAGATGTAAGGTTCATTTGATGAAGTCTATATGCCAGTTATGGTTAACAGTGCATTCCCATCCTTGTCTAGTCAGGAGTAAACCTAAATAAACATTCAAGTTCAAGATTCTTAAGGGAAATGTCCTCTTCTTAAACTAACAAACAAGTTGTTGATAAAAAAATAAATGGAGAATTCAGAAAGATCTCCTAAACACAAATAAATGAATAAAGATTGTTTTTAGTTTAGCCCTCCTTCAACCTATCTTAGAAACACTTCAATACTTCATCTCAATGTGGAGATGGAATAAAGTGGAAGCAAACTTTGCTTATGAGGGACTAGTATGAAGATTTTTGTGATTGTTAATAACAAGGACTAAGGCTGAATACATGTTCTTTGTATCTTCTCAGAAATGGGGTTTAATTTGTAGCTACTCACATCATTAAATTTGACTGTACATACTGATATGGTTTACACTCAGCCAAGCACTCATTTGATTGAAAATCACATGATCACATAAGTGGGAAGTTAATTTTTGCTCTGCGGGTAAAAAAAGTAGTTGCTTTCAGGTAGAAAGAACAGCTGTTGCAAAATGCTTTGGATCCTTTCTGCGTATTTTCTCTTGCTGCATTATCCTGGAAATGCAGAACCAAAAGGTAGAATATATCTAAAAGTTGCTTTACTGATTTTTAACTCTCACTTAGAATTAATGATATAGACTAAGTTCAAAAAGACTATTTGTATGGATTTTATTTATGGTATAAAGAGAGACACTGTTTTGGCTGACTGCAGGGGAAGAAATCAGATCTGAGTTTAGCCTATTGGTATTAATCAAAGTTTTCTTTGAATAATCTGAACACTCAGAATATTTATATCATTTATTTTAAAATCTATATGTTTTCTTTATATCTTAGCATGACTTGTAGAAGTCTGTTTTGTATTTTTTCATGATGAGTAAATAACAAAGAAACCCAGTTTAGTAACTGGGTTTCATAACTTCCATCAAGAGTTTTCATCTCATCTGCCCAATAATCAGGTGTTAAGGATTATTTTTGTTTTACAGCTGTGTTGGTACTCCATAGCTGTCATGGCATCTGTACAGTCTTGGCAATGCTCATGTAAAGTACAGAATTGAGTGTGTAAAAGCAGAAACTGTTTGAAAAAAACATAAATATGCATGTCTGTGTGTGGGATACAAAGTAGGATATACAGGTTTGGTTGAAAAATGTCTGGGAATATTACTAGAAATTAACTTACACATATAAATTCTAAATAGTTGTGTTATTAAAATGTGAGAACGTTCCTTTCCAAATGTATATAAAAGTAATGAATACAATTATGCTATTAATTTTCATAGTGTCACAAGATTCTTTCATTGCCAGAATCCCACTGAAATTTCTTTTTTGAATACTGACCAATTTCTGCAAACTTTCTATGAATTGTTGCCTTTCTTGCATTATTAAATTGTTTCATTAACTTGCCTTGTATTTTTATTACTTCATGATTCATCTTTATTATTGATCTTGGAAAGCAAATTATGCTAACTTTCTCAGATTAAACTGTTAAAATTGGAGAGTCCAAGGAGAAAAATCGAGATGGTATGCATATTTTATACCTGTTGGTAGCTCCTCAAATAAGCCACAACTGATGAGTTTGACCAACTCTTGCCAATCAATCCTAAGGGGAAAATGTATTTCATGGTGACATATTCTCCAAGTCACCTTCTCCCCTTGAAATGTGGATATCTGCACAGCTCTGGTCCCTATGCTGAATCATGTCACAAATCAGAGGAATTTGGTATAGATATTCAAACATGTATGTTGGGGAGTTACAGTTCTTTCCATCAGAATTTCTGCTCTATAATAACTCCAGCAGACATTACTTTTAAACATTCCTAAAATGTGTCTTAAAAATATAAGATGTTTTGAGATCTTTGGGATGCTAAAGCCTATCTCTTAAAGTGATACTGTATTTATTCCTTGAAATGGCTCCTAAAATGCACTTCAAGAATATAGAATAGAATAATTTTATTGTCACTTTAAATGTACACTAATTGTCATACATTAAAATGAAATTTCGTTGCATACAGCTTTCAAAGGGTCACCACCTCCAATATGCATTACATAAATATGACAAAAAATTGAATATACTCGCATATATTTTATGACACAGAGAAACAATATACAGGTACATGGTGAGAAAAACGAATCTTGCAAGTTTACCAGATGGATGGCAATGGGAACAAAGCTGTTACAGAATCTGGTAGTCTTGCTGGAAATACTTATTGCATAGAATTCCAACATACAAGAGATGAATCAGTTTAAACCTCAGTCAATGAAATAATGCATTAAGGGAATCAAACATGAAATAAAAATAGTAGCTGACTTACACAGGCTAATCAAGCAAGAACAGCATAGCGTAATATAGAATAGCACGGCAGAGAAGTTTCTTTGGTCCTTCAGAACAACAGCTTGCTAGACATCCACACAGGTTCAAAGAGAACAGGCAATTATGTCATTTTTAAAAACCAATACAGGTAGTCTTCACAATTGAGCCCAAAATTTATGTTGTTGTGAGAAATTTGTTAAGCAAGTTTTGTCCCATTTTATGACTTTTCTTGCCATATTTGTTAAGTGAATCACTGCAGTTGTTAAATTAGTAACAACTGTAGTGAATGTGGTTTTCCCATTGACCTTGCTTGCTTGCTTGTCAGAAGGCTGCAAAAGGTGATTACATGACCCTTACACTCTGCAATTGTCATAAGTGTGAGTCAGTTGTCAAGCATCCACATGTAAATCAAGTGACCATGGGGATGCTGCAACAGTCATACATGAGAAAAGTGGTCATAAATCACTTTTTTCAGCACTGTTGTAACTAAGTGAACTGTTGTAAATCGACAACTACCTGTACAATGTTATTGGTTGAATGAAAGTGATAATTTGTTAAGTTTGAATATCATTGAAATAAAAAGTAGTTTTAGAAGATTCCCCAAGATCTCTTATAACTGTTTAATATTTAGATGTAGAAGAGTAGAAAAGAACCCGGATGTAGAAAAAAAAACACCATTCAAATACTTAAGTGACAACACTGGATGTGGTATATGGCAGCTGAAGCATGCTTCAACAAATCAATGCACCTTGAAAATGATAGCTATTGCTTTTAAAGCAGTTTCACAATTCATATGCATCTTTTTTTCTTTGCAAAACACAGAAGCTCTCATTCTGTGGTGTAGTGTCAGCAATAAAAAGCTAAATGACAGGAAATGGCAAATTAAAATAAGCTTGCTTATTGTGTCTACCATCTTTCAGGAGAATTTATAGCAGGTGGTATCTAGCAGGAAACACAGGCAGAGGTAAAAAATTGTGATAACACTCCGTAGCCAGGCTGTTTCTAGTGTGAAGGACTAACTGGAACTTGCATTGTGAGTGCTGAATGCCTGGAAAAAAATGTGGGTTTCTCCTCAGAGTCAAGATCGAAATACAACTGAAGGGATTTTATAATGAGGCTTCATCTTCAGGGTTTTTATATTTAAATAGAATTGGAATAGGAACTGGTGCACACTATAACAGGGCTTTTCAACCAGTGGTACGGGTACCACCTGTGGTACATTGGCACCTGGCAGGTGGTATGCGACCATCTTAGAAAAGTGGTAGTGGGGGAGGGGAATGAGCTGAACCGGTGGCAGCACCGCATAAGCCTGAGCGAGAGATGGCTGGA